AGCCTTCCAATATTTGAGGGGCTGCCACAGAGAGGAGGGGGGTCAAGCTATTTTACAAAGCACCTGAAGGCCAGACAAGGAATAATGGATGGAAACTGACCAAGGAGAGATTCAATCTAGAAATAAGGAGGAACTTTCTGACAGTGAGAACAATCAACCAATGGAACAGCTTGCCTTTGGAAGTTGTGGGGGCTTCATCACTTGAGACTTTCAAGAGGAGATTGGACTGCCATTGGTCTGAAATGGTGTAGGATCTCCTGCTTGAGAGGGGGGTTGGACTAGATGATCTATAAAGTCCCTTCCAACTCTGTTAATCTGTTAACCTCACATTTATTTAGCACATTAGATGTATCAACATACAAAAGCTAAGATTTTTCTTTTTTAATTAATCCATAAAAGAAAAAGAAAAAAGCATTATATTCTCAGTTTACATTACATCATTTTGGTCATTAAAGGAACACAAAACTTACATGGCTGCTATTCCCCAGTGTTCTCCAGCATCTTTTCCTGCTGAGCTAAAGAGAGGCAGCGCTACCAAAGTTATGGTTGGAGCAATAGTCAGAGGGCCAATGAACCGCATCAGGAATCCAATGAGACCCGAAAAGCCAACAAAAATTTGGAAGCAAGATGCAACCATAATTGCTCCCTGCAACTGAAACAACAAAGGCTGTAAATGCTTTTTATTCTTATTTTTATGGAAATCCTTGTAATTAAGTTGCAAGTGGTGACGTGTGATTGACAGTGGATGGTAGTTGATCAGGTTAATGGAATTGGATGTCATCTTCATAATCCTAGCAAAATTGCCATATACTTTATATTTAGTAGGAAAACTAATCAATTGCTTTTACTAATTTGTCTTCTGAATGGCTAACAAATACTGGAAAGGAAATATCTTTTGGATGATGTTTCTCATTTGGAAGAAATTAAAGTTAAAGATAGGAAGTGCAAAGTGGAAGCTTTGTTCAGGATCCATAAATATTTCTGTGGGACTGTGATAGATCCTCTGAAACCTAAGAGACGGGCAACCATCATGTCATTTTTATTTGACAGGCTGCTGTTCTGGAGGAGGGGTCTCCAAATTTGGCAACTTTAAGCCTGAAGGACTTCAACTCAGCTTTGCTGGCTAGGGAATTCTGGGAGTTGAAGTCCTCCAGGCTTAAAGTTGCCAAGGTTGGAGACCCCTGTTCTGGAGGACATTTAGCTACTATTCTCAACATTATTTAGGAAACCTAAAAATTAATAACAGTTAACTCATCCTGAAAGAAAAATAAAATATTCTCTCCTTGTAGTTGATCAAAAGCTATTTGAAAGGCAAAGTGGTATCAACTCTCCTACTACCTTGTCTTTTGAAGAAAGAGAAGTTACACAAATTTGTCAGGTGCACCACAAAAACAAAAACTGTCCACAAAATAATACATTTATACAAATATCCTTGGTAGATTATTACCTCTCTCATTCGAACCTGCCATAATTCAGTGAAATTTGAGGAAGTAGGATCCACCATGCTGGCATTACTGGTCCAAGCAGGGCACTTCCAGGAGGGCAAGCTGAGCATGGCCAGTGAAGGCGTTAGAAATGCGAAGGTTCCTCCTTGTAGAATAGGTAGCCTGTAATGAGGAGGGAGAATTGGAGCAATGCGTACAAAATGCATCATCTACTTGTACACACACTAGATGGCACTGCCGTTTACTCACACAATTTAGTATGAGTCTGTTTTCCAAAGGCTTGTTAGAACAACCAGGTTTTGACAATGTTCTGGAAGATCATAAGGAAATAGGTTACCCTTACCTCTGGCAGCAAACTATTCTGAGAAGGGAATTCCTGTATATAATTACCATTCTGTTCCCACTTCCATCGAACAACTCAATAGGAGTTCAATCAGCATTTTGCATGCAGTGGGTGGTTATAATCAATTTAGATTCAGAAAAGAGAATTTTGAAGATACCAGGCCTCAAGCCATATAAGCATTTATAGGCAATAACCAGGACCTTGAAATGCACTTGGAACCAGATAAGTTGACAATGCAACCTCACCTTATTGGTGTTATGAGACAATACTGTCTGTCTTTCTTTACCAGTTTATTAGTTTGTTACTACTCGCACATATATGCTAGTCATTCCCGACTCTAACGACTCTCATCTCCATTTCAAAGCCGAAAAGCCAGCGCTGTCCAAAGATATCTCCGTGGTCATGTGGCCGGCATGACCAAACACCAAAGGGGCACAGAACGCTGTTACCTTCCCACCAAAGTTGTCCCTATTTTTCTACTTGCATTTTTAAGTCCTTTCAAACTGCTAGGTTGGCGGATGCTGGGACAAGTAACGGGAGCTCACTCCGTTATGCAGCGCTAGGGATTCGAACCACGGAACTGCCCACCTTTCTGATTGACAAGCTCAACATCTTAGCCACTGAGCCACTGCATCCCATACTTCACCTTATACACCACTCAATTTCCTAAGCTTCCGAGGGGCACCCATTTATGCCCCACTATTGCATTCTGTATCCACTGAAGTTTCCAAGTGCTCTTTAAGGACAGCCCTTTTCACAGTATGTTGCAGTAGTCCAAATGAGAAACTATGGGAGCCCAAGTGATGTGAGTAGGGATCCTCAGTGTAGGAATGGGTACAATTGAAGCACAACAAGAAGCTTTGCAAAAGCCCTCCTAGCCATGACTGCCCCTTGCTTTTTCAGCAGGAGCTGTGAAACTAATCTTGGACAACCTGCCCATTCCACCTCACTCTGTTCCTTTGTCCGAAGAGGGGTTGGAAACTGGATTGAAATTGTCCAGGTGCAGCAATGGTCTCTTGAGGAAGAATGTACCATTGGGCCCTTAAATGATGTCAATATCCAAAATGGCTTAGAGGATATTCTATACTTACAAGAACCTCTAGCACTAATTGCTGAAGTTAGGCCAACTTTGATCATTACCAAGACAGAATTGTCAAAATATCTATGAATATATGGGGAGGAACAGAAAAAGGATCAGTAAAGATTTAAAGCTACTAAGTAAAGGTAAAACTAAGCTATGCCAGCAAATCCGGAGAAAAACAGAATGGTCAACAGATTGGAAGAGATCCTTTTTTTTTTCAGGGAAGAACAACAAGGATGATAAAGGGTCTGGAGGCTAACCCTATAATAAATGGCTAAGGGAACTACCAGTAGGAATGTTTAGCCTAACAAAGAAGAGGCTTATGAGTGACATAATAGCAATGTTCCAATACTTTAAAGGCTTCATAGGAAAGAGGGGGTTGGTTCATTCTTCAAAGCACCTGAAGGCAGAACAAGAAGCAATAGCTTGGAAACTTGTCAGAGGGAGATTCAACCTGGAGCTAAGGAGAATTTTCCTGCCAGAACGATTAGTCAGTGGAACAGTTTGCCTCCTGGAGTTCTGAGTGCTCTGTTGTTGGAGGTTTTCAAAAAGATATTGGACAACCATTTGTCCTAGATGAAAAGGACTCCTGCCTATTGGACTAGAAGACTCCAAGGTTCTTTCCAGCCCTATGATTCTATCATTCTTTTCTAAAGCTAGATTGAACATCTGATATCTCCTTTTCTAAATGGAACTCTAATTTGCACTGGTTGAGCATAAGCATTATTTTCTAATATGTGAAATTAAGGATATTGTAGTCATAGTTTGCACTCTCTGTTAAAGTATTCCTTTTTTGTGTGTTTGCATATAGTCTGATCTCAGCATCTTTTTTATATCATGGTAACTAGAACTGGATGCAATAATCCAAGTGTAGCCTTACTAATGCAATATAGAAGGGTACTATCACTTTTAGTGATCTTGATGCTATCCACCTGTTTATGCAGCCTAGGACTGCACTGGCTTTTTTTGGCAGCTGCAGCACACTGCTGACTCGTACTTAAGCGGTGGTCCACATGGACATCTATATCTCTCTCACAGGTTCTACTATTGAGCCAGGTACTGCCAATTCTGTACCTGTATGTGTGGTTTTTCATGCCTACGTGCTGGGCCTTACTTTTCTCACCACTGAACGGCATTTTGTTGGATAGGGTCCAATATTCAAGTCTGTCAAGTTCCTTCTGAATCTTGACTCTATCTTCCAAAATGTTAGTAATTCTGCCCAGTTTAGTATCATCCGCAAATTGGATGGGCATGCGTTCAATATCCTCATCTAGATCATTTATCAAGATATTGAAGAGTATTGGGCCCAAGACAGAACCTTGAGGTATCCCACTGCATGATTCACCCCATATAGATATAGTTCTATTGAGGACTGCAATCTGATTATCATGGATAAAATCTATTTGCAACTAGTCCTCACGAAATGATTGGTTGCTTAGTGACCATTTGAAATCACAATGGACCCCCCCAAAAGGTATTTATGACCCAATTGTGAAGTTCTGATGATCTCATATACACACACCTGCAGTCATATAATTGCATTTTGGGTACTTAGCAAATGACTTGCATTTACAGTCATTTGCAGTGTCCTGCAGTCATATGACCAAGATTTTTGTGGGTTTTTTTTACAGGTTTCCAGAATGTACTTCTAGTTTCTGGCAAAAATAATAATAATACCCAATGTGTTTAATAGATTTGGTTAATACCGTGGTGTTTGCTTAATGAACAGTGCACAAAAGTAAATTTGGGTGAGGTCACATAGTGATCCATTTATTGACTGCCACAATCTTCAATTGTAATTCTTGGCTCAATTACAGTTAATGCACCAACCTTCTCCTGTTAATATTTTTCTCTGAAATAGTTGTTACTAAGGCTAAACATTTACATCACACATCCATTTAGATAAGAAAACCCTCAAGAAAATAAACTTTTAAGGGTTTTTTTTCTTTAAAAAGACTAACAAATAAAGAGTTTAACCATCCCCTTTCTTCTCTAAAGCAGAAGATCTATTTCTTAGGGCAGGTTGCAAAAACATAGCCTTGTAAGACTTGGTTAAATAAAGTACACTGTGTAACGTATTTGAGTCAAACTGAAATCAAACTTGTAAATTTGCTCCACAACACAAACTGCTCCTTTTTTCTTCCTTCCTAAAAGTCTTTTGATCTTAGTTCTCAAAGAATGTTCTGCAGAAATAAGGACATCATTGGAATGTGGAGGCATATTCAAGTAATCTCTGTTTTTATGCCCCTGGAGACACATTGTGCTATCATACAGTGACAAGAGGAGAACACAGATCTCTCACAGAGGGATACGTAGGCTATGTAATTAATCTGGAATGTTGTCATGAACATGTCCAGCAGTCCCACACTGAATGGGCTCACAAAACACACTGATTTGGAGTCTGTAAAGCAGTTCCATAGATACCTGCCTAGTACTTCGGATGTTGCAAAGAAACTGCACCAAAGACATACAAGGGCCCCTAAAATGTACATGTAAGGCATTTACTAGAATCTTCCAACTCACAGAAACTAAACAAGTAAATATTAGATTACATCTGGGGCATTCATTAAAGTGTCCTAGGTGTGGAAGAAATAGGATTCCTGAAAATATTAGCATTTTCATCTGTTCTCTTTCACTTCACGGTATGGTGTTGCTATTTTCTCAGAGATTGAGAGAACTGTAAAGCAAAATAGTCTTAGCACAATGGAATTCCTCTGTCTTTATAAGTTTATGTCATAGCTTCATAATCTGCTGTAGATCAGCTAAAACTGAATTTCACAGTAAAAGCCACAGCTTGAACTTTAACTGATATTAAAAAGAATTCCAATAAATGTTTTACTGATTACCAAACAAACTGAAGGGACTTATAATTTACAACGGAACTATTAGTTCATCCAACAGGATTGCTTTTCCCATTCAGACTTCCAGTTTTCCAATGTGTTGGTTATTTGACCAACACATGAAATAAAATACATTTTAAAGTGCAAACATTACCAACTTAAAAAAATGTATTTACAACAGCAATAATTATACCTAGAAAGTAAATCTCTCATTTTACCTCAAGGCTTTAGTACTGGGCTTTAAGTGCAGCAGAAGAATCACTGTTTCATAACTGGTGTGTGATCACTATTCATGAGTCAGACCCATGATGATCTGGGGTAGGCCCACGGCCGCGAAAGTGGTCAAGAACTGCTGGGCTGCTTCTGAGGCCAAAGGGATGGCAAGTGGAAATCCCTCAGAACCGTTAAGTAGGGGTATTCCACTTCCAGACCTGAGACAGTCTCCAGGAGTTCAGGCAGGGAGGTTGCCACACAGGGTTCACCAACAAATGCGCGCTCGACAAAAGCGCGGGGAGAAAAGCGCGAGTTCGAAATCATGCCAAAGAATGAGCACAGAAGCGTGCCGATAACAGCGTGCCGACAGAAGCGCGCTCTAAACCTAACCCTAAAGATAACCCTAAAGGTAACCCTACCCTAACCCTAACCCTAAAGCTAACCCTGAACCTAACCCTAAACCTAACCCTGAACCTAACCCTAAACCTAACCCTGAACCTAACCCTAAACCTAACCCTGAACCTAACCCTAAANAACCTAACCCTAAACCTAACCCTGAACCTAACCCTAAACCTAACCCTGAACCTAACCCTAAACCTAACCCTGAACCTAACCCTAAACCTAACCCTAACCCTGAACCTAACCCTAAACCTAATCCTTACCCTTACCCTAACCCTTACCTTAACCATAATGGTGCTTTTGTGGGCGCGCCTTTGTGGGCGCGCTATCGACATCGCGGTTTTATCACCGCAGTTTTGTCGGTGCGCTGTTGTCAGGCGCGCTTTTGTTGGGTCACGGCCATGCAGTAGGGTGGCTGGTACACTAGCAACAATCCCAGCTGATCCCATAAGCCCAGCTTCAGAAGTTGAGTCTCAATATTTTCTCCCTCATATTTTTGCTCAAATGCACAGACTAAATTAATGGCCAGACCCTGAAGGGTTAATTTCTTTCAGAGATGGAGCCTGGAGGAAATGGCAACAGCACTTAGACTTAGATACCACTTCATGGTGTTTTACAGCATTTTCTAAGCAATATGTAAAAGGCAACATATTGCCCCCAACAATCTGGGTCCTCATTTTACCGACCTTGGAAGGATGGAATGCTGAGTCAACCTTGAGCTGGTTCGGATCAAGCTCCAGGCAATGAGCTGAATTAGCCTACAATACTGCAATCTAACCACTGCCCCACTATGCGTCCATAGGCAAATCTACATCAAGATACATTCTAAAGCAAAATGCCTTCGGATATATGTTTGAAATCCCATTTACCATTTATCAAAGTTTATCTCAGCTCTCTTTGAAGTTATAAGATAAAATAAGATAACCTTTATTGGCATTTTTTACTGTGTGCACACTGGCTCACATTCAGAATATCCCACACCCTTTTATTATGTGACCATTAAGAATCTTGTTTTTTTATATGACCTGAATGATTGAGAAACCGAATATGAGATGCTCATATTGATAATATTTTCAAAATGCATTTATTTATTTAAAATATTTTGTAACTTCCCATTTTATAGCCAAATCTGAGCAGCTCGCAATCAAAAGTTTTAAAAAAACCAATAAAAATTACAGTAGAACTATAAAACATTAATGATTAAAAACAACAAAAACCTGGCACCAAGTCAAAATCTCTTATCTCAGCACCTGGGTGAAAAGATGTTCAAAGTTGTGTAAGGCTAGGCAGATAAAGGCCTGCCAAACCTCAGGGGTCAGAGTGTTCCATAAGTCAGGGGCTGCCATGGAAAAGATGTGCTTTCTAGTTCCCATCAAGTGACAATATTTAGGGGAAGGGACTATGAATGTGCCTATCCTATTTGACCTGGAGGATTGGTAGTTTCTTTAGGGAGGGGCATTCCCACAGATAATCTGGTCCTGTGCCATATGCAGCTTTAAAGGTGATGACTAGCATCTTGAATTGTATTCAGAAAGAAACTAGAGGCTATTATAGTTTGCACAAATAAATTGTTTTTACCCCAATGCTGGACAGTCCTAGAATCATCTAAAAAGAGTATACTATAGATACCTTGATTCAAAATTGTTGCACTATAATGCATCATTTGGGATAACTTGAGGATATAAAGAGACAAACAGATAACACAAAGGAGTTTTAGTAGTATATGAATTGAAAGTCTCTCCTAATTGTTGGGTGGCATTCACCAACTTTATTTCTCATTCTGTAGCAGAGGCCAAGTCTCTTGTAAAGTATATTCTTTGCATCTAAGTAAGCACTTGGCAAAACAGATTTAATTTAGTAGTTGTGGATGTAGTTTGCAATTCCTAGCAGAATCAAAGGAGTTATTGTGAAATTGAAAATCTCCTGAGAGGGTGAGGAAAGGAAAGGAATCTTAAATAAATTAGAATCTTGCTTTATTCTACACAAAGGGCATTTGTTGCCCGGTTCTGAAAGTTTCATTGTTGGGTAGAGGAAACACTGTTTCAGAGAATTACTCTGCTGTGTTTCTTCTCTTTAACTCTCAAAAAAATAAAGATGCATACAGAGCAGCACATGTCCCTTTCAAAAAAAAGTCTCATGATATTCTCTAAAAGTTGTCCAACTCTGAAGTTGCTCCATTTTGGCTAACCGATCTGTTCTAATACTACTTGTCAGACTCCTAATATTTCATTTGGGGTTGTTACTTGGAACCCTGACACTGAGTTAACATTGCTATTTTTGTAGCAGATGCTTGATAGGAAATTGATATATCAAAGAATTTATAGAGTTGAAAATACATGTAGTCTTGACATGATCGGTCACTTATTGATCATCTGAAGTTACCACCCCAAAAGGTACTTGCGATCCATATTCAAAATTCCAATGGAAAGCTCCCTCCAGAGTCATGAGATTGCATTTTAGGTGCTCATATTTATGGCCATTTGCCACAGCCCATGGTCACGTGGCCACAATTTAAGACATTTTCTTTGCTGGAAAGTGTTTATTTTCAGTTTCCAGTGAAAATCTCCCATTGTGGACAATGAGCTTACTTAATGATCCCCTTAATGACTGCTGCAAAAAAGGTCATAAAAGCAGGTCAGTCATGTGGATGTCTTGACTCATGGCAATCATGATGTACAACAGTAATGCTGGGTTTCTTTATTGTCACAAATCAAGGACTACCTTTAGCAATTTAGGCCTTTGAGTCTAATCCCAGTATTGTGCATACTGTATATCCAAATTAAAGTTCTATCTCTAACCTTTTATTTCAATAAAGCTACAATATATAATTTTCTGATTTGTTGGCTGCTAGAGTCAAGAAACTGAGATAGAACTTTTTGCTTCATTTGGCACAACAAGATTTTGAAAGGTCTCCCTAATAGCATCCAAACAGAATTCCAGATTATTTATTTCAAAGTATTCCTCAGTTAAATGAACTGGAAACATCTCCTCAGTCCCAAGAGCCTATTAATCTCAGGTATAAATGCATAGTTTAGTTAGGCTGTCTGCTCTGATTTTGTTTAGAACTGAGTGAGTGACTGTTGCCTTTCATTCTCTTCTTGTGATTCTAGTTCCCAGTAAATTTGTGGTTGTAACTACAGATATAGTTTCATTCATTTAAAAAAGGAAATTTTCATTAAAAAAATTATTCATAGATATTTGCCCAACTGCCCTTATGTTTCTTGAGTTTGTTAGTGCCAGCTTTTCACTAGAGAATCTTTTATTTTTTTGGATGAAAAATTATAGCTATAGGGTAGATGTAATCAAAAAGAGACATCATGTTGTAGATATATATGACTACCTTACTCCAAAGATAACCTGAAGAAGAGTGCAGATCCCCGAGACGAAAAATATGGTACTGATCAGGTGACTTTGTGTCAGAGTGTCCAGCTCCAGACAAAGTGATTTGGAAAGGATCAGAGGAATTGCGACAAGACCTCCAAGTGCAGTCAGGTAATGCTAAGAAACAGAGAAGAGGGGAAGAAATGCAATTAAGAGTCCTCCTTACCAATTGTAATGGTGAATGCATAAAACAATACTTTTTGTGTCATGGTGCCTATATTATAAAAGACAATCTTAAAATATTATAAGGTCCTCCTCTTTTAAGCCTCAGATATGGTACCGCCAGACCTTTGATGTGATTTTTTTAAAAATTGTCTTTGTACTTTAGCCTGTTCTTGTTTTTATGATCAAGTTTAGTGTTTAAATTAGTTTACTGCTTTTGCAAGCCTCAGTGCATTTCACTATAAAGGAAAGTGAAGTTTAAATGCCTACAATCTAGAAAAAAAGAAGAGAAATCTTAAACTATCATAGAACCCAAGGCCACACCAGTAGCTAGCATTCATTCTGCCTGACCTGACATTCTGACATTCCCTCAATTTGACAAATCCATGTGTTATTGCAGTAACCGATGACAATGAAATCAGGAAATATATCTACCAAAAGTCCTATTTGCAAAGAGAGCAAAATTCATGTTTTTGTATCTACATTTCCCATCCAAACTATGCAATGGAGTGAATGTCCATGTCTTTTGGGTGGCTTCTGTCTCTTATCTTAGCAAAGGACAGATCTGACTATCTGCCAGAAGTCCTCTGTCCATATAAAAACTGACTCAAATAAATTTTAGCTGAGAAACTGATATCCATATTTCAACTCAAATGGCAGAAAGTACTTTGAAGGATGATGGGCTTTCCTTCATATAAGATTTTGAACCACAGGTAGATGTCCAATTATTGATTATACCATGCAAATATTCCTTAGACTAGCATGGTACTTTGCATTAGGTTAAATTCTGAAGTATCTCCCAAATGGAAGGTGATTCCTTGCAGAAATCTCTACATTGTTGATGTTTCTTTGCTTTTGAGCAGCTCCCAAGGAATTAAGTTTAAATAGGCCATACTGTGAAACAGTAGGTGTTTTTCTTTTCATGTACACTCCTGTGAATTGCTTCATAAGTTATTTGTAGTACTTAAATTAGGTAATCACTTATGGAGTCCTTGGTGGAACCTCTATTTGATTTTTGAAATACATTTACTCAGTCTAAACAATAAATTTACCAGTACTCAGTTGGAACTAGAATTGATTTAATTGTTTTGCTAACTTGAATTGCTTACATTTAATCTATCTAAATAATTTAGTGTCTTTAAGTATGCTTCTTTCTCCATAAGTACACATTTTCTAAATCCGCTTAGGGTGTGATTAGCTATGTGGGTGACGTCTAGTGGCACTCCAGAATGAGGAAGGTGTAGAACAGTCAACACTCTAATCATGAATCCCTTGTTCCAGGTTCAGCTTTCATACTCAGGTTAGTGTGAAGAAGTGACTCATAACAGAAAACTGCTTCAAAGAACTGGTTAATAATGCTTTGCCAGTAAGCTGGATCTAGTAACATTTTCTTCTTAAACAAGAAGAGACAAGTGAAGTATTGTCAAAGATAATGGAGAGATAGAACAGAAATCCCTATGCTCAGTTATGCAAGGCATGACAGTTGTCACACTTCATTGCCTTAGACAAAACTAGAGTTTCTCTTCTGGTGAAGATACACGGTCAAAAATAAGGGAACAACAATGAATTAGAAGTGGCCTCGGAAATCCAAAAATGTTCATTTTCTAAAATTTATTCATTAAAATTCATTATGTTGTCCATCTCACTATTGAAGTGACTGACAGGATTTTGCACTAAGTTGACAGGAAAATCTCTGCTCCTATAAATTTCATACTTTGTAAGGGCAAATAAAAGACTCCCAGATCCTTTTATTTATTTATGTTTATATTTAAATATTTGGGGTACAGGTTAAAGGTTGTGGACTGAAAACCAGGAGACCACGAATTTTAGTCCCATCTCCAGCATGATGCCAATTGGGTGACTTTGAACCAGTCCCTTTATCTCAGTTCTAGGATGAGGACAATGGCAAGCGACTCCTGAAAATCTTGCCAAGAAAACTGCAGGGAAGAGATAGATAGATAGATAGATAGATAGATAGATAGATAGATAGATAGATAGATAGATAGATAGATAGATAGATATGATAGATTGACAATGATAGATAGATGATAGATAATGATAGATAGACAATGATAGATAGATAGATAGATAGATAGATAGATAGATAGATAGATAGATAGATAGATAGATGATAGTAGGCAGTAGACAGACACAGACTTTCTGACAGACATCCTTATATTGTGTTAGTTAACTCACATTTTTATTCATCTTTTTGCACAACATACCCCTGCCAAGAATTCCCAGCTAACTTGTTATTTGAAGATTTACCTGAATTCCCAGGAAGATGCAAAGATGCCATGGAGGTATATCTGTGACAGTGTATGCCAGCTTGTTACCACCTTTCCTACTGAAGTCTTCTGGTTTTCCTTCATAGTCTCGAACTGTAGCACCGTCCTCAGTGAAGTTACAATGTTTACCATCATCAGTCTGCAGAAACAACGAATCTTTTCATACCATGCTCATGGTCAGCTGACACTAACCAAGTGCTTCATTACCACATTAACAAATCAACCTCCCACAAGAGGAGCTATATAAAAGCAGTATTACAAAGAACATCAACCCAGTAGCAACCCAGAACATCAAGAAAAGGAAACAGACCATCTATACAATATCTTCCAATAAAATGAATACCCACGCAACTTTATCAAAAAATGCCTGACCACTCAAACAACTACCAGACAGCTAATAGAAGCTATAAAAAAGATTAACACTATCATACATCAAAAACATGAAAACAACTATTACATAACAACACTGTTGCACACACTCCAACTAACACCCTCCAAAATATCTTAAGGAAATCAAGACTCAAAAAGAAAAAATATGCGTCATCCACAACATAGAAGGTAAAGTTTGTAACAGCCACTATGTAGATGTCAATAGACACATAGAAATAAACCCCATTGACAGATAATGTAAAAGAGACAACAAAAATTTAAGGAGGAAATAAAAATGAAGGAAATAATTAAATTCAAACTATAAGTAAATAGCTATAAATGTAATACATAAAGGCATGTAGGAGTAGAAAAAGAAAGAAAGAATGTGCAAAAGGCTATAAAACTATTTCAAGATTTCCTTTGATGAGAAGTGGTATTTAAAAAAGCCTCCAAACATATAATGTGAAAGCCTCTTAAATTGTAACATTATATTTGTCACAGTCTGTTCTATTTCAGGTAGATTGTGAATAGCAAGAAAAAAACACGAGAAGGAAATTACAGTATATGATTCAAAGTGAATTAATAACCTGACAAAAATAGGAGGAACGGCACATATTAAAATGAATATCAATCCTTTCTCCTACTTTTTTCCAGAATAAGAAAAGGGAAATACAAGCAGCAAATGTTATAGCTTAGATTTGAATGTGCTAAATACCATTCTGTTATATCTCAGGAGAAAAAGCATATTTTTACAATAAACAGATCAAGCGATCGCATATGACACCAGCTATTGTCCACCTCATTCTTGCTCTTTATTTTATGTGATTGAAACTCTTTTATACAGATATTTAATTTAAATATAAACTTACAAGAAAAGTGGGATTGTCTAATCCATTTGCTTCTTTTCCAGCGTTGGTCATCTCCATTTCATAGGACGTCCTTGAATAAAGCAGAGAGAAAGCGGAGTTGAGGCCCCAATCAAACCTCATGTTTGCCACCCTGAACAACAACAAGTTGCAGGAATCCAAATTTCATTTCCAGGCATTCATGTGAGAGTAACTATAGAATAATTCCCCCTTCCCTAGCCTGCTGAAATCATTTACTCATGTTCAGCTCAATTACACAGCAGCATAAAGCTTTGAAAACTTAAAAAAAAAAACACATTATGCTGCTTGAGCAATAATGGATCAGTAACTGAAAGGGGGATTCTTTCTGCCAATATCATGGATTTCCTATAGCAGATCTATTGATTGTTCTTTTCCTATACAAAAAAATGTTTCATACTGAATAGCAAAATTTGTCTACTTCTTAGACTACATGTTATTATTACAGGTAGTGCTCGACTTACAACCATTTCTAGTGACTGTTCAAAATTACAATGATACTGAAAAAATATTTCTCACAACCAGTCCTCGCATTACATCCATTGTACCATTCCCATGGTCACATGATCAAAGTCTGGATGCTTGACAACAGAATTAGTGATGGTTGTAGCATCTCAGGGCCACAGGATTGCTGTTTGAGAACTTCCCAGCCAGCTTTTGACAAGGAAAGTCAATGCAGGAAATGATTCACTTAATTACTGTGATGTGATTCACTTAACAGCTGCAGTGATTCATTTAACAACTGTGGCAAAAAAGGTCATAAAATAAGGCCCAACTCATTTGCTTAGCAACATAAATTCTGATCCCAATTGTGGTTGTAACTTGAGGACTACCTGTACAACTATGATGATTGTTACTATTTTAAAAAGCACATTTGCTTAAATGAAAAAAAAGCAAAGAAGTGTTAAAACTAGCTTCCTTAATTAAATCCTATCTTTGCTGTACTAGAAATAATATTATTGTCATATCAGGCTACTAAGCCTTCATTTTTACTGTTGCCTTTTTATTGGCCTTCTATATGCTTTTTAAATACTAATCTCTTTCTTCCTCCATCCCAAAACCCATATAAATTCAGTTCTGTTTTATATATATATATGTATGTATGTATGTATGTATGTATGTATGTGTATGTGTATGTGTATGTACATGTACATGTACATATACATATACATATACATATATATATATATATATATACACATACATACATACACACACACATACATACAAACATACACACACATAGACATACATATACACACACAAACATACCTATGATATATTGCGTAATGTAGTTGTAATTGTAATGTAAATGTAATTGTACTATTTGTTCTGAGGTTTTAACAATGAAAATGAATATTTTATAGATAAATTAGAAGTAATTCTATTAGATGAATAGAAACAATGGTGTTATTTTAATTTATTTATTATTATTTTTTGCATCCCATCTCACCAAAGGCTACTCTGGGCAGAAAATGTAAAATTACAACAATTGAAAATTTAAAACATACTAAAAAAAAACAATGAAACAGTAAAAAACAATGAAAGTACAGCAATATGAATTAAAAGATGGCAGAGAGGGAGCAGGATGCATAGGAAGGTGGTGGGGTTTGCTATTAGTCAAATAATCACCTCCATGTGATGCTCTTCTTTCTCACCCAAAACTGTGGAAATATTTAGGACTAGAATTCCTATCAATAGCAACAGTGTTTAAAATTGTAGCCAAACACATTCATAAGGCACTAGATTGGAAACCCAATAATACATTACATCAATCTGCAAATATTTTTTTTTCTCCAAACTCTAGTTGACTGTAGTCTTCCAAAGGTCCAAAAGCTGTTTGTAACAACAAAAATCAAGTGACCTGATACCCTCCAGATGCTTTTGTCTTTACCACCTGTCAGTCCAGTCTTCATGGACCAAAATAAGCACTAAAACACCTAGATAGCACAAGATTACTGGAACCCTAACATAAAGTAGTGTTAGATTTGTTCAATAATATAAAAAGTCAGAATTCTGCACTTAAAAAACCTTCACTGGTGTTCTGAAACAAGTTAAACATAGTTCTGGCTAATGATGATAGGGATTGTTGTTGTTAGTTGCAAAGTCGTGTCTGACCCATCGCGACATTTCTCCAAGCCTTTCTGTCCTCTATCATCCTCTGGAGTCCATTTAAGCTCACGCCTACTGCTTCAGTGGCTCCATCCAGCCACCTCATTATCGTATGTATAGCAATTGAAAGCATAGTCAGCTAGTCACTTTTCTGATATTTAATGACAGTTATGACGACTCTACCTTATGTATGAATCCAAAAGCTGAAGATCACTTCTTCCATCTCCAAAGTTAAATATCTCTCCTTTTCTGTTTTTACAGGTTTATGGAATGGCTTTAGTACAGATTTTCTTCAAGCCCATTATTTATTAATCATGAATAGTTCACTGTGTAACTAACATTTTTGATCAATAATTCTCTCAAGCATGATATATTGTGTCTCTACAATTATTAATGGAAGCATACCCTGCCTGGAATTACTGTCTTTGCCATTTTGCTCTGTATTAACTCAAGAAGTTCTTTTTAGTTACTGTATTCGGGCATCACACTAATCATCGGTTATTGTAACACAAACTAACCTAACTTCCCCCACTACTCCAGCACAGCTGCATATCAAACTGATTTATTTGCCACTGGTTGTACCTTGCTATTCACTTCATGTACAGTCAACAAACTGATTACTTGAAAAATAGAGACGATGTAAAAATAGAAACTATAAGAACGGTATTAAGTAATGAATGTAGCCTAGAGGCAGAAACCAATAACAAATAAAATAAATTTGCACCTGAAATCTTAGGCAAGTAATCAATAGTCAAACCAGCCAGACAGGTTGTAAGCCCCAGCAGCAGCTATTTCAGAATAAATTCTCCACTCAGATATTTATATTATATAACTGCCATTATTTCTGAGAAAAATCCCAGAAGATGAACAGAAGAAAAAGCAGGAAAAGGAAAGGATGAGTAAAAAAGAGTGTATTCAGTTTGTCTGCTTTGACCACATGGCCATCTCATCCCAGTTTATTATGAGGAGACCAAAAAGGGCACCCCCTAGTTCTAAGGTTTTAGGAAGGTGATAATCATGTAAGACAATATGAATTTCAATAGTTTCACTTTTTAGACCTTTTTAGATCTATTAGACCTATCTTTTAAAACCTGGGCAACTTGAGATATATACATTTGTATGCGCAGGATTCTCAAGAACAGCAATGAAGACTGGAAATTTGGGATGGGGATTGAATCCCTCATGACTGGAAGTTTAGGAAAAGAAGTGGTAGACAATCACAGTTCATCTCCATAGCAAGGCCATTTATTTTGGAGTACTACTGATTTCTCTGATAGATTATGAAAATTACTTCTACTGATAGTACTACTGGGTAGTTTTAGGAGAAAATATGTCTTAGAAAGAAATGACTAGAATATAAACAGAATTTTAATTTTCTATTATTTTAAGGATTTGTTAATTTTATTTTTATGGTTTATGTGAAACTATCATTTATTGTCAGGCCTTTTGAATAGAATAGAATAATAGAGTTGGAAGGGACCTTGGAGGTCTTCTAGTCCAACCCCCTACTCAGGCAAGAAACCCTACCCTATTTCAGACAAATGGTTATCCAACATCTTTATCCACATTTCTAGAAGTGGTACATCAAGCAATCTTAATTTTGAAGATAATAATAATCAATAACTGACTATTACATATTTATATATAAATATCTGTGTTCTCTGATAAGCAACAGACCTTGAGCTTTTCAGTTATTTTCTAGTCATTGCGAAAGCAATTACAATACTCAAAAGAAACTTACAACATTCAGCAAACAAAATCCTTTGGGAGGTCAAGAAGCCACAAGTGGCCAATATAATTATATGAGTAATTTATTGGGCAAGACACAGCCTGAGTCTAAAATGTATCATAAATATAAAACAGTTACCAATTGATAATTGCTTGGTTATGGATGAAGGTCCACTTAATCTCAAAGTACTTGGTTGGCTTACCATTTTCTTACCAAAGGATTTTTTTTTAAAAAAAGTCATAATATTGATACAATGAGAAAATTATGGGTGCAATCTTGAATAAAGTGACAAAATATGTCTAGGGAACATTAGGAAAAATCACAACATAGAAAGCACAAAGGAAGAGAGTGTATCAAAGATAACAAGTTTCCAATACGATGGGAATGGACACTCTTGGGAGTATTAAAATTAGTTTTCTTATCTGACTTACCCTGCACTGTCCTCTGATCCAGTAAAACTGCTCATCATAAATATCTTGGCCTTTTATATTTTAGTGGCAACCATTCTCTGATGTAGCAAATATTAGTACTTGTGTAAAAAAAGAATAATACTTAATTATTATGAAGATTCACCAAACTCATGAGGAGGAACTTGGTTTAGCCTAGGTAAAGATAAGCAGTAGAATGACTGTAGCAGTCATGAAAAATGGTCAGGATCCTTTCCTTGTTTGAGAAAGGCACATAGAATACTAGAATAGTCCAAGGCAAACATCACTAATTCAATGGTTCTTCATGTCTATTTAATGAAACATCACCAAAGAAACTGGAAATACAATTTAGTTATTAACAGTAGGCAGCTAAGGCTTTCTGCAAGGATTATTAGCTATACATTAGAAACAGAAGAAACTTTGGAAATAAACTTTCTCTTTCCTATTATTTGGAAAATATAGCTTGGGGGGGATTTATAGTTAGAATAAATCAATAGATGAAAAGTGATAGTTTTAATCATTTTTCCATTGAAGGATAACCATCTATTACCGTAAGTAGGATCAGTAGCTGAATTTAGAGTTGTAACATTAACATTTAGTGATAACTTGGTTTGGAGCTGCAGTATTTTTAATCCTGGAAGCATCTAGGTAATTATTAAATCCTATGACACAAAAATCCCGACAATTACTCTTTATGAAATTCTGCTGGTAATGAATCCATTTCATGATAGGACCTTAATGTTTGAAGATAATAAGGACTTAGATTTGTATTTTGTCTAGAGAATGAAAAGTGATAGTTAATACAAACCTATATTTTCAATAGTTTTTAGATTCTATTTTATTCAAAACCAACAAGAATGTTTCAGACTGGACTCCACTGTGTTTATATAAAACTATGCTTATAACAACAGACTTCAATAAATTGATATTTTATTCCAGATGCAATAACATTACAGTAATGCTATATTTAAATGCATATTTATACAGTGATATAGTTTTTCTATTTTTGAAAGAAAGTTGTTACATGCAGTCTCCTAAGTGTGAGACAGGCTTTAACATTTTGAGTTTTACATACTCTTTTTAAGTATGTTCTTGCTGTATGGAAATTGACATTTGGAGAACAAGTGGATCGACATTCCCTATTAATTCCTAAAAGATTTATTCTTCAGCAATAGAAGGAAAGCTATGTGGACCTACTCAGTGGTCTACAGAAAACAATAAAACCTCACCTTCAAATACAGTTTGACTAAAATAAAATACAATGTATATCTGTTTAACAGCTGCTTCACATGTATTCCATTTAGTGAAGTTATGATTCACTAGATCAAACGTATGCAAAACCTTCATCACACTATACTTTATTTCCCACTTTTAAAGAACTCCTAATAGATCACTGTTGTTGTGGAGATTAATATTCAATATATCAATTTCTGTCAAACACTACAAAAGCACATTTTAATGAAAAGGGCCCACAGGTCTTTCCACATAAATCCTAGATAAATATAGCACATATGGTTATCCTTCAAGCTACTCAGTTCAGGGTTCTTGGGTTTATTTTGGCAGCTGTCTTTCAATAACAATCAGACTGATTGATAGACTGAAGTATATGTACATATATGATTTGTATTCTACCTTTTGTATAAGAACGTATTTACATACATCTATTTTCCCTCAGAATAACATCCCTTTGAGGTAGGTTGACTAAAAGAGACTGCTTGCCCCAGTCACCCAGTGAATTTTTGTGTGAACTATAATCTGGTCTCCTGCTCCTACTAAATCTAATTACTAAACTATATTTGCATTTACATGCACACTCCTTAGAGGAATGCAGGTCACATTTCATCTTCACTACAAGAAATATGTAAGATAGTGGAACAAAAGAAAAAGAGTGTGAAACTACATGAATGAATACAGAAACAGCCAAACTAGTATAATCAAAACCAGACATACAGACCTAGAATAAGTTTAGGTTAGCTCAGCTAACCTAAACCATCAGTCCAATGGTATAACTTACTGATGATGAGCTTCAGACCTTTGAAAATGCTTTGCTTTCTGTATTAAAACTGTTGCTCCAATACCACTAAAGTCAGTGTATATGCTATGAACAAGGAGAAAATTAAAATAACTGAAAAAAGTTAAAGTTTAACTAATTCTATGGATTTTATTACATTCTAATCATCATTATGAAGATTATTTTATACAATAAGATAACATAAGAAATTAATGATGGTGAAAAGAGCAGATTGTGTAATATTTCTAGTCAAATTAATTTTAACAAGCAAAAATGAACACTAGAATGGTAATAGCAATGTGTCAACAATGAGACAAAATGCAAAGGTTACAACTGAAGAACTAGAGTTATACCTTATTACTTCACTTGGAAGTAATAAGATAACATTTCATTACCAGTCTATGACAATAAGATTTGCATCGCTTGCATATTCCTTTGTAGACTAGCGATGAAGAAAGACTCCATTTAGAGCACAACCCAAGTCTTTGGTAAAGCCTGGGCCAAAATGGCAGGGACCTAACAGAGGCAGAAGAAGAGGTGGCAAAATTACAGAGAAGAACTTTACAAGAATGAGCTTAACGTCCCTAATAACCATGATGGGGTGGTCACTGACCTCAAGCCAGACATTCTAGAATGTGAAGCCAAATGGGCCTTAGAAAATCTGAGCAACAACAAATCTAGTGGAGGTGACAGTATTCCAGCTGAGCTATTCAAAATCTTAAAAGACAATGCAGTAAAAGTGCTACACTCAATTTGCCAGCAAATTTGGAAAACTCAACAGTGGCCACAGGATTGGAAAAGGTCAGTTTACATTCCAATTCCAAAGAAGGGCAATGCCAAAGAATGCTCAAACTACTGCACCATTGCACTTATTTCACATGCTAGTAAAATCCTACAAGCTAGGCTCCAGCAGTATGTGGATCGAGAACTACCAGAAGTACAGGCAGGATTTCAAAGAGGCAGAGGAACTAGAGAGCCAATTGGCAACATATGCTGGATCATTAAGAAAGCTAGGGAGTTCCAGAAAAACATCTACTTCTGCTTCATTGACTATGCTAAAGCCTTTGATTGTGTGGATCACAACATATTGTGGCAAGTTTTTAAAGAGATGGGAGTACCAGACCATCTTATTTGTCTCTTGAGTAATCTATATGTGGGTCAAGAAACAAGAAGTGAGAACTGGACCACTGATTGATTCAAAATTGGGAAAAGAGTCTGGCAAGGCTGTATATTTAACTTATATGCAGAACACATCATGAGAAAAGCGAGCTAGGTGAATCAACAGTTGGAATTAGATTGCCGGGAGAAATATCAACAACCTCAGATATGCAGATGATACCACAACCAAGTGAAGAGAAACTAAAGAGCCTCTTGATGCAGGTGAAGAAGGAGAATGCAAAAATTGGCTTGAAACTCAACATTAAGAAAACTAAGATCACAGCATCCAGCCCTCTCAATTCCTGGCAAATAGATGGGGAAGAAATGGAGGTAGTGACAGATTTTATTTTCCTGGGCTCCAAGATCACCGCAGATGGGAACTGCAGCCAAGAAATTAAAAGACGCTTGCTCCTGGGGAGAAAAGCTATAGCAAATCTAAACAGCATACTAAAAAGCAGAGACATCATCCTGTCAACAAAAGCACATATAGTCAAAGCTATGGTATTCCCGGTTGCAATGTATGGCTGTGAAAGTTGGACCATAAGAAAGGCTGAGCACCAAAGAATTGAAACCTTTGAACTATGGTGCTGGAGAAGACTCATGTGAGTCCCTTGGACTGCAAGGCAATCAAACCGGTCAGTCCTAGATGAGATCATCCCTGACTGCTTTTTAGAAGGTCAGATCCTGAAGGTGAAATGCAAATACTTTGGTCACCTAATGAGAAGGAAGGACTCACTGGAGAAGAGCCTAATGCTAGGAAAGATTGAGGGCAAAAGAAGAAAGGGACAAAAGAGAATGAGGTGGCTGGATGGAGTCACCGAAACAGCAGGGGTGAGCTTAAATGGACTCCAGAGGATGGTAGAGGACAGGAAGGCCTGGAGGAATGTTGTCCATGGGGTCGCGAGGAGTTGGACACGACTTCATAACTAACAACAACAACAACAACAACAAAGCCTGGAGACTGTTTTCAAAGGTTTCAAATAGTACCTTTCAAGTAATGGCCAAGTTTCAGCTGCTGAGTAGCAGAGTTTTGCAGTTATTTATATCTCTGACCCCTTCCTCTGTTTTGTTTATTCTTAACAGTGAATATAAGATGATCCCCAACTCACACATTATTATTTAGAGGAAAGAAGACTTTTTGTCCTGATATTCCTACTTTTTTCAGTGTGGTCAGATGGCATGACGTTAAAAGGTCAAGTAAAGCCTTGGATTGAATAAATTGAACACCTTTGCTTTAAAGTAGTCTTCAGAATGTTCAACCTTATATTTACTGACTAAAACCACAAATCTTGAAAAGTATGTGGTCAATGTATAGAAAAACATTACTTAATTTGGAACATCAGAGATGCTTAAGCTTGGTGAGGTCATCATTCATGGGCACTACTTGAGTCAGCCTACAATGGTTGTTAATTTGGGTTAAAACACGACATCAGCCACAGGTGTGAGCTTTGACTGCCTTGACAGAAACATAGTGGTGAAGAGGTCCTAGAAAACATTAAATCCCTCATTCAGGGCAGAACAACTTCTTCAATTTCTTATTTGTATGTTTATTTTTACTTCTGATTCAATGGGTGAAGTTTATAAACGTCCTTCAGTTTCAGTTTGTTACGGCATTTGCCTAATAAAGTAGATAAGATCTTACCTGAGTTTCTTGTTCAAATATTTAGATGGATATAATATATATTTCTCCACCTAAACACTGGTTGGAGAGTCAACAGAAACTTCCCACCTCATAATTTGTGATTTCTGTTTTGTGTGGCTGTCAGGAATTAAGGTGTAAAGGAAAAGAAACAGGTGAAGTGCAGGATCTAAAACTTGTGAGAACACTAATTATTTTGTTCTATTCTAGTTATGAATGTATTTTTATTCCAGAAACATTAAGGTGAAATATGCTGCATTTCAGGCAATATTTTGACTAGCACTAAATAAATCCAGTTGCGGCAAAATAAGCTTTGAAGTCGAGTATCTGAATCCCTTGCACTTAGGAGACAGTGATTATATTCAGCACCTATTCTTACCTCTTGAATATGATGCTTTGGGGGTGTAATGAGGACTTTTAACATCAACGTCATCTTGTATCTTCAACCAGCCATTTCTTAGAAAGCAGCAGGAAACTCAGGTTCTATATAGTGCATTCATACTTCCTATTTTTCAATTTAAGATTGCCAGCAAATCTAAACTGAATAAGAGTGCCATAATTTCCCATTGATTTCTAGATCAATGTTGCTTTAAGACTTCGTTAGGATGGAAAACTTGTTTAAAATGCCACTGTTTATCCTTCTGGCGACATTACCAGCTCAAGGTTGACTCAGCCTTCCATCCTTCCGAGGTCAGTAAAATGAGGACCCAGATTGTTGGGGACAATATGCTGACTCTGAAAACTGCTTGAAGAGGGCTGCAAAGCACAATGAAATCATATATAAATCTAAATGCTATTGATATTGATATTACAGGTAGTCCTCAACTTATAACAGTTCATTTAGTGACCGTTCAAAGTTACAACAGCACTGAAAAAGTGACTTATGACCGTTTTTCACATGTATGACCATTGCAGCAGCATATGATCAAAATCCAGATGCTTGGCAACTGGTTCATTCCTATGACGATTGCAGTATCCCTGGGTTATGTGATCAGCTTTTGCAGCCTTCTGACAAGCAATGGGGAAGCCAGATTCACTTAATAACCATATTACTTACTTAATAAATGCAATGATTCATTTAACAACTGTGGCAAGGAAGATCGTAAAATGGGGCAAATTCATTTAACAGATGTTTCACTTAGGAACAGAAATGTTTGGCTCAATTGTGGTCATAACTCAAGGACTACCTGCATTATCCCAAAGGTGCTTTTTTCAAGAGGCAATTGGATTTTCTGGTTTTTCTTTGAAGGCATTTCACTTCTCATCCAAGAAGTTTCTTCAGCTCTGACCGGATGGTGGGGAATGGAAGGATTTATACTCCTTGCAGACACCTGGTCATTTGCATTCTGTTATCAAGTCATTAAGATCACCTGGAAGTTTATCTGTGTCATCAGGGTCACCTGAGTGGTTCAAATTGGTGTGGAACCTTCTTGGAACTGTTGAAAGGACTGTGTTGTGTTCAACAGTTCCAAGAAGGTGACCCTGATAACATAGATAAACCTTCAGGTGGCCTTAATGATCTGCTAAAAGAATGCAAATGACCAGCTGTATAAAGCCTTCCATTTCCCACCATCCAGTCAGAGCTGAAGAAACTTCTTGGATGAGAAGTGAAACATCTTCACAGAAAAAACAGAAAGTCCAGAGTTCTCAACTGACTTTCCAATGAAATGGCATCAGGCCCTATAAAACCCTTAATTCTTGGCTAACCAGAAAAACAACCTGTTGTCGTAACAATGTTCCTTGTTTGCCCCATTTTGCTTTTCTATCTTTTACTCATTATATAAATAACAGCAAATTAGTCCAATCAGTGCCTCTCCTTCATTAGTCAGAGAAGCCTCACCCCAAAAGGAAGGGTCCATAAATTTGGGGGAAATCCAGGATTGGCGGAAATATAAAAACATGTTCAGAACATTCTGAGTAGAATTATTCTGAGCTATATTTAAACCAAGTTCTTCTAAAAACAGGGTAAAAGTTTTAAACATTGGATAATAAAGTTTCCTATTTCAGAACAAATTGTATTTATCTATCTATCTATCTATCTATCTATCTATCTATCTATCTATCTATCTATCTATCTATCTATCTATCTATCTATCTATCTATCTATCTATCTATCTAAATCTGTGTGTGTGTGTGTGTGTGTGTTCTGGATCGCCTTGAGCAATTTCAACCAAACTTTGTACATAGATGACTTACGCTCTGGAAATGAATACTGTAGGGATAAGACACCCCCTAACACCCCTGGGGGGTGGTGTTCTGTTAAGATACAGCCTGTCATGCCTTACAATGGCTTCTACTGTACTGCTGTAAAATGACTTCTATTGTATAGCACAGTGGAGTTGCCATGGTAACGGCTTCACAGTACTCCACTAGGGGGCTCCCTCTGGTAAGGGGGAAAATCCAACATTGGAAATTATGCTTCTGGGGGCAAGGGAAAACATTTTTAATTACTTTAATTGTCACCAAAATCAGGGCTCAGGGAGAAGTTGCTCTTGCCATTGTCTCTTC